AGATCTATTGGTTCTTTTGGCGGTCCACAGCACTTTTAGTATTCTCCTCCAACACCACAATTCAAAGGCATCAATTCTTCTATGATCTTCCTTATTCACTGTCCAGCTTTCACATACATATGAGGTTATTGAAAATACCATGGCTTGGGTCAGGTGCATTTTAGTCCTCAAGCTGACATCTCTGCTCTTCAACACTTTAAAAAGTTCCTGTGCAGCAGGGTCGCTATGAGTCAATACTAACTCGATGGCACCTAACAACAACAACCAGTAACTAAAATTAAAATTTGAAATTACAAAGTTTATAGAAGACAGCATAAGTTAAAATCTTGGTAATCTTAGGTTAGGCAAATGGTTCTTAGATCTGAAATATAATAAATATAAATGGGACTTCAATAAAATTAAATACTCTCCTTTGCAAGTGGCATTTGCTATGGAGTGGGAAAAAAAGTCACTAATGGGAGAAAATATTTGTGTGTCACTTATCTGTCAAATGACTTGTTATTGAGACTATGAAGAACTCAACATTCAACAAATAGAACAGAAATGCAATGTTTTTAAATAGAGACAAGATTAGGACATACGTATATTTCTTTGCCTCAGAAACCATGCAATGGCAAATAGAACTATGAATAGATGCGCAACACCTTAGCTTTAAAGAAAACACAAATTTAAACCACAATGATATATATCTTGCACAGACGGCACTTAACAACAATAACAACAATTATTACATAGGTTAAAATGACTGAATATCAAGTGCTTACAAAGATGAAGGGCAACTGAAACTTTCATATATTTCTAGTGTGAATCCAAAATCAGAAAGCCAGCTTTGAAGAGTTTGGTACATTCTAATGTGGCGCTGTGGGTTAATGCGCCAGACTGCAAAGCCGTTTGAACTGCAAGGTTGGCTGTTCAAGCTCACCAGCTTCTCCTTGGAAACCCTCTACAGGGTTGCTATGGGTTGGAACCGACTCGACAGCACTTAACAACAACAACAACAATAAAGGTAAATAAGTATTGTTGTTACTGTGAGTTTTTGAGTCAATTGACTCCTAATGCTCCCATAATTAAATCTGTTGTTAAATGCTGCCAAGTTGGTTCCAACTCATAGTGACTTGGCTAAGGGTTACCTAGGAGTGGCTGGTGGGTTTAAATTGTCGACCTTGCAAGTCAAACTGACCTTGCGGTCCAGGATATTATCCTACAGCAGCACACCGGGACTCCTAATTAAATATACATTTATTATATAACACAGCAAATCTAGTTTCAGATATTTTCCAAAGAAATGAGAATTTACTTTCAAACAAAAACTTGTACATGAATGTTTTATTGATATTTACCCAAACTGTAAGCAAACCAAATATTCTTCAACTAATTACTATTGATAAACAAGCTCTGGTATAATTACATACTGGAGCGATATAAAATTTCAAAAAGGAATATCTTTTGATACACCCAGTAGCATAGATTACTCTTTTTTTTTTTTAAAGTAATAGCAATAAAATTTATTGAGAGATCAGGACTGGTAAGCATTGTACATATGAGTCAGAATCTATCCCCAGGAGAAAGATGAGGCTTTCTGCTCTGGTAAATATTTACAGCCTTGAAAGCCCTGTACAGGGTTGCTATGAGTCAGAACCGACTCCATGGCACATAACAACAACAACCACAAAAACAGAGACCTGGAAGACATTTAGATTCACTGTAAAAAATAGTCACTCCTCTAGACAATGAAGAAATGTACACTTTTTTATAGTCAGAGCAGGAAGTAAAAGTTACAAAAATCATCATGTGAGTCAAAAATAGGATATATAGAAGCAGAGAGTTGGCAAGGATAGGTGGATAACACATAAATGGGGTCACATGATTGGTTAAGTAAGAGACTTTTAGTTGATTACAAGATGGCCACCAAATGGTGGCAGGACAAGTTTTCATGGTAACGTGTTAGTAAAAGTGCTATCTCAATCATGTTTGTTTCTAGACGTCCATATAAAGATTTATTCATAAATCTGTTCATTAAGACCATGGAGATATATGCTATCATATTGTGCATCTGTTTGACTATAGTGGAAAGACCCTGTGAAAATACATTGTGACAGCCTACACTTGCTAAAGAAGGAAAGTCTTCCTTAGGGTACATGGTTGGGTCAGCATCAAGGTTATAGGAAATGTTGTTGGAAGAGGCAGTTTTTATAATTCAATTAAGATTTTAGACTCAGGATCCATTTTCAAATACTCTATCCTCATTTGGGGCTATAAGACAAACACTTGACTGCAAGGTAGGTTTGAAGATAGGTTACTCTTAAATGAATCATGCTAAGTTAAGAAAGAATCAGACTCAAAAGGCCACATGCAACATTTATCTGATATTCTAAAGAGGGTAAAATAATAAAAGCCTATATAACAGGTCAGTGATTGCCAATAGCTGGAGTAGGGAAAATATTTACCACAGAGTTTTATTGCAAAGGTAGTTTAGGGAATGGCTTTTTTTTCCCCCTTATTTCCTGTAACTTAGTTGTGATGATGGTTACATGAATTTGTTATAACTCATAGAACTGCATAACCAACATTAATATATTTTTTGTTGTTATATGCTACACAGTAGCTTAGGATTCAGAGTGACTCTGTAAACGGTTTCCAAGGAGTGGATGGTTGATTTGAACCACCAAATTTGAAGTTACCAGTATGTCCACACGTATATATATTGAAAAAAAAAAAAAAAAATTTAGTTGAGATAGTGAATATCAAATTTTGGGGTTTGAATCAAACCCCACAATGTAATAACTGTATTACCTTTGCTTGAACCCTGATGTGGTGCTGTAGGTTAAACACAGGATCTGGTCATTGCAAGATCAACAATTGAATCCCACCAGCCACTCCAGGAAACCGTATTCAGGTCACTATGAATCAAAACTGACTCCATGGCATATAGCAGCAGCAACAACCTTTGTTTATTTCTTTCATTTATCTCATTTTCATCGTATATAAAATAATGTCATAATGACAATGCCATGTCAAGGGTAGTTATAAAAAATACATTTTATAAATTAGTTAATATGTTTCAAATAATTACTCAATAAATTTTAGCTTTTTACATATTTAGGATATATTTAATATTCTCCTGTACATTTTCAATGAAATGTGAAAATATTCAGGGTGAATATCTTTCAATTTAGTAAATGTGCCGATTTGCAATTAGCTTTCATAATTAGAAATTTGGCAAATTGTTTTGCCTATATTCTTTCACATTTGTATCACAGATGACCTATTTAGTCCTTAATAAGTGATATTTTGGAACACACAGCTTTCTATTTTCATAGCAACACACAGAATGTTGCAAGATTTCCTAATTTACGGGTGAAGAAAGTAAATTAAAAAGGGATTGTGTAGACTCCCAAGATCTGATTGATTAGTTCTACTAAAGCTCATACATGTATAATTACACAGTTCTAAAATTTTTACATACTATTTTATCAAGAATTCTGGCATTTGCTTCTCTGACATACAGCAAATATTAATTTCTCTCCTGAAATCACTGAAGTCATGATAAGAGTTGATAAAAATTGATCTATTGTTAGCATAATTCTTAAATTTTCTCTCAATATTTTATTTCTAATTACCTATTTATCTATATTGCATACATATATGGTTATATATATATTATATATATGTGTGTGTACATAGTTGGATATATTGTATATAAATCTGCCATGCATATATATGCAAATATATGTAATTATGTATAAGTCAAAAAAGTTTTTTTAATGTTCTATTATGATTCTCTTTTACATTTGAGAAAACAAAAGTCAAATTTTAAAGCTGCCTGTTTTCAGCATGTGGTAACATTGTTGAGGAAATAAACATCAATCATTCCATAGTTAGAGGACATAAGCAATATTAAGAAAAGGTGATATAGTAGTTTTTCTGTGGCGCTAGCACGTTCTCATGCACCTTTTCCTCCATTGCCCAGGGAACAAGAGAAGGGGGAAAAGGCAATGACAACTTGAAAAAGGAAAAAACGAAAAAGTGGCAGAGGTCTATTCAGCAAACAGTGGAATTTCAACAGGAAGTGCTATCTGATTTGACATAACTCATCTCTTCTGGGAAGCAGTGAACACCTCTTCCTCAAATTCCATGAATTGTTCTCTCTTTTTTTTAAATCATTTATCTTCTGTAGCTATTCTCTCCCTAATTCCTCCAAATAATGCTATCTATCATTGATATGTCTTCCAATAGTAGTATGAATTTGCAGAACAAGCATAGTGTTTTAAATGAAACAAGTCTGAGTTTAAATTCTAATGTTGTTTGTAATCGCATTAACTTTTCTTAATTTCTTTTTCCTCCTCTATAAATCAATAAAAGAGGATAGCAGAAAGTTAGAGAGGTACATATATTAAGGTTGGTACACTGAAAGATCTCCAGAATGAAACTCAGAAATTTATTACACCTTACAAAGGGCCGTTTTTTTACAGGAACCATAAACCACACCTCACGCTAAAAGTTAAAAAACAAACAAACAAACAAAAATCCTAAAATCTGAAATATAGACAAGAGCAGTATTTTTCAATATGTGGTCTTGAGACCTGGGCAGATTTCATCTCCAACAGCCAATCTTAATTTTTTTCTTAACTGTTAGCAGAAGATGAGCATCCTTTAAGTTTTCTTTCCTCCTTCTATACACATAGGTTTAAGAAAATTTATGAGACTAAATTTTCTCAAAAATATCAAATCTAATTTTTTAACAATCTCCCAACTATTTCTTTAAGACAATAACATTTCTTTCCTTTTTATCATAATGGCCGCTCTTTATCTTTACCTTTACACACAGACTCTCTCATCAGCAAAGATTGTGTCTTCCTCTGCTTTGCACAGATATAAGTAAGCATGTTAACTAAACATATTAATATTATTTGCATGGTTTATTCTAAAAGGAAACCAAAATCCCTTTAATACTTGAAATAATGCTTGAAAATATAATACATTGAGGAAAAGAATCTTACCACAAATGAAGTACATTTTACAACAGCATCCATGATTCTTACTTTCCAGGGTTCTTCAATGTTTTCTGGCATAGGTGTATAAATAAAATAAGCAAAAAGAACAAAAGTCAGTCCAACGCATAAAACTTTCCACTCCATGTTATGTTTTTTTCTATACTCTAGATCATGATGATCTGCCATCACTCCATATATACTGGATATTAAGGAATAGGACAAAGGTAGATTGCAAACTATCTCAAGCAATATAACAATGTTAGTAACTGTTAGCGATTGCTCAGATCCAAGATTAATGCTGATAACAGTGATTGGTTGAGCAATTAATTACACATTTTATGTGAAATACTTCTCATATTATTTTCTCAGCATATAGATTAATGTGATGAAAGGATCTAACCTCAACACACACCTTTCCTGATTTTTAACCGAGCACTATCTCCTCTTCTTCTTCTTTTTTTTTTTTTCAACAATTACCTCTTGGTATAATTACAAGTTCTATATGATCACCATTAAATGTTATGAAATGCCCATTCTTCCTAATATCATCCATAGTGTGTTATGATCCATCTAGTGGAATGTCTTTGCATATTTAATAAAACACAGACATTCTGCTTTCAGTCAAGGTTAATTTGATATCAGCAATGACGTCCTTCATTCCTTTATTCCAATGGTTTCCTCTTCTGAAACCATTTGAAGATCTAGCAGTTTCATGTAGATAGAAATAACCCAAGAAGCTGGACTATATGAAAACAAATGTGGCATAAAGATTGAAGGAAGATTCATTAACAAGTGATATCACAAACGATATTTAGCTAACACAACATTATTTCTGAAAGAGAAGAGTATTTGAAACATTTACTGAAGATGATCAAAGACAGCAGTCTTCAGTGTAGGTTACACCTCAACAAAAAGAAAACAAGAACCTCACAACTGCGCAACATCATAGGCAACATCACGATAAATGGAGAAAATAATGAGGTTGTTATGGATTTCATTTTACTTGGAAGCAAAATGTAAGCAGCAGTCAGGAAATCAAATGACATATAGCACTGGGGAAATCTGTTGCAAAAACAAAACAAAACACAGTATACCCTTTGGTTGGGTAATGATGCATGGAGGGGATTGTAATCATGGCAATGAAATGATATACAATAGGCTAAATATAAAACTAATGTTATCCCATGTAAACTATCACATAATTTACAATAAAACATTAAAAAACAACAACAACACAAAAACACCTCTTTCTTTAAAGTGCTAAAAAGCAAAGATGTTACTTTTAGGATTAAGCTGTGCCTGAAGCAAGCCATGGTATTTTGAATTGCTTCATACACATGCAAAAGTTGCACAATGAATAAAGAAGACCAAAGATTTGATGGCTTTGTAATAGGTTGTTGGCAAACAATACTGAATATAACATATATTTGTAGAAGAATACACAAATTTGTCTTAGAAGAAATACAGTTAGAATGACCTTTACAGGTGAGAATGGAGAGGTTTTGTCTCAGGTGGAGACACTCCCTGGAGAAGAGTATCATCCTTTTAAAGTAGAGGTTCAGCAAGAAAAGACAAAGCCCCTTAATAAGATAGACTGACACACTGACTGCAACAACAGACTCAAACATACCACTAGTAAAGACTGGGCAATGTTTTGTTTTGTCGTACAGAAGGTCAGTTTGAGTCAGAACTAACTGGGCCACATCTAACAACAACAACAAATAACATGTGAAATATAATTCACAATATATTTTGTCAGTGTGTATCATTAGCACTCGATTATAAATAATTTTTAATTCCTTAGTGGTGTACAAGATAAATCTTACAAGAAAAAAAATAAAGAGCCATGAAGTCTATTCTCTTTTTTATATGTTTCTTTTAAAGTTTATTAATACAAAAATACACATAAGCCTACATAAATACATGTTGCTGTTAAATGCCATCGAGTTGATTCTGATTCCTATAGACCCTGTATAGGGCTTCCAAGGAGCAGCTGCTGGGTTTGAATTGCTGACTTTGTATTTCGTAGACCAGAGCTGATCCTAAAGCACCACACCAGGATATAACTATCTGGTAATATTTAGTTGTTAGTAATATTTAGTTGAATCACCACGGCCAACTGAATTGTAGACAAGAGGAGAAGAAATTTATAAGCTTATCCAAGTTCTAGAATTATTTCACCTAGTACAGAGCATTACTAAAGTAATTAAATTGTTATATTTAAATTGTTATAAAACTTAAAGCTATTCAATTCATACAATTGCATACTAATGGAAAAAGTATGTATGCGTAAAAATATTTATTAGAAGCATACTATGTGCTAAGCCCAATACTGTTCAAAGGGTCACAAAATTTAGGGCAATCCGGAATTTGTTCATTCCTTATGGAGTTTTCTTTAATTTATACTTCTGAAATTAATTTCCCTAAAACCATCATTGGAGATGTTGCCATAAAAGGTTTTATTCATTTGGGGCCCCTTCCAATTTTCTCAGTGCCTTACATGGCAACACCTTTCACTCATTGGCCTTGCCTTTCTTTCCATTCAGTCAGCTAGACTCTTCGTTTCACATGTTTTCAAGGATAGAATGGCATAGAAATGAAAAACAAAAACAAAAACTTAGAATTTCTTCATAGCTTCTGCATTTTGAAATCTAGATATGTCGGGGACCCGCCTCGACATTGGGGTTCAGTTCACGAGGAGAGGATACCTGACGGCAATTCATATATATCAAGAATACACAGAAAGAGAGAAAGAGAGAAACAAAGAGGCACCCCAAAGCCAGGGTGGATACATCACTGATAGGCAGGCTTGGGACTACAGGCATCGTGGC